TGAGCGGAGTTGTTCGGCGCAGCAAGGAGTCGAGCGCTCGGTTCTTCCTGTCGTGTGGGATTGAACGCGAGGAAGCCGAGTAGAAGACGCGAGCCGAGCAGGAGGGAACCGGGATTGAGCGTGAGGAGGAAGAGGGAGCCGAATCTTGCCTCGAGCGAGGAAGGTTCTCGGTGCAGAGGGTAGGAGCGAACGAGGAGTTTTCGGTGGAGAGGGTCTCCAATCGTGTCGAGAAGGGGAGGGAGAAGGCGAGCGCGGGGGCGAATTAATGAAAGGAGCGAGGTCAGAGAGCCGTTACTTGAAGCATTGGCGGGGAATTGAATTATTTCCTTGTAGGCAGCCACCTCAATTGGAAAATCCAAATTCTTAATTAAAGTGAGATTAAATGTCAAATTTGAAGTTTAAAAATTTTAAATTCAAAATGTTTAACCCTCAGTCAGCCCGAGTCCGACCCGAATCAAACCCGAGTTGAACTTGGGTTGAGCCCGGTCTCACGTCCCGCTAACGTGCATCGATTTTCGTGTTATTTGTTTTGCGTGCGAAACCATAACAATACGGGTGTCCTCCCTAACTAAAGTTAACGTTCTGGACGTGTCGGTGTGGTCCGTATCGTCATCCGGGGTCGTCCGGAAGAGTTCGCCGACGGGCGAGTCGATTCAAGTCAAAGTCGTGTGCGATGCAGTGAGTGTGTGAAGTGCGTCGTTAGCGAGTAATCCAGTCACAAAGGGTTCACCTAAGGCTGTTTGATCCTACAGGAACTCATTTTCGGGTCCTCTGCATGTTGCTCCTTAGCCCTTGCGACTAAAGGTTGAATGCTTGGAACCACTCATGCGAGTTCTTCACAAAAATGAGAGTTCTTCACAAAAAAGAGTCAAGAAGTGACTTGAAATTCTACGAGAGGTGGGTTCCATTGCTAGTCCGCTAGGATGGTCAATAAGAACTCCTAAAGCTAGATCCTAGGTTCTAAGAGTGGGAGACTAAGACCTCACTAAAAATGAGGTCAACAGTGATATAGATTGGGATGTTATTAGTAGAATTCAAGTTGGATGGTTGAAGTGGAGGAATGCATTAGACCTATTGTGTGATAGAAATACAGCAACAAAGCCTTAATCCCACTACGTGGGATCGGCTACATGAATCCTTTTTCTCCATTGCATCCTATTTAGTGTCATATTTTCATATAGTTCTAATAAATTAAGATCATTTTTAATACAATAAGCCCAAGTCTT